TGGTAAACTATTCAGAGAAGTAATAGAAGAAAATTTCCCAAACATAGGGAAAGAATTTGATATACAGATAAATTGGGCATGTAGAATGGCAAACAGTCACAACCAACATGAAATCTACATCCAGACATATAATTAAGATTCCATACATACAACATAAAAACACAATACTAAAAGCTGTTTGGGAAAAGACACAATTCACCTATCAAGGAAAACCCATTAGAATCATAGCAGACTTTTTGGCACAAATCCTCAGGTTAAGATGAGCTTGGAGTGAAGTATGTCAAACCCTGAAAGAAAACAACTTTCAACCCAGATTGATATACCCAGAAAACCTTCTTTAAAGTTTAATGGGGAAACAAATTACTTCCATACAAAGAATAACTGAAGAAATTCATGTCCATCAAACCAACCCTACAAAATCTCCAGAATGATAACAGAAAGAAACCACCAGGCAAGCTAAGCAATTAAAAAGGGAGGGGGGAGCAGAAAACAAAGAGCAGAAAGATAACATGACAAAGTTGAGCCAGTACATATCAGTTATATACATCAATGTAAATAGCCTCAATTCACTTATTAAAACAAATAGATTAACAGAATGGATCAAGAAACAGGATTCTACAATATGCGATATACAGGGAACACATCTGACTCAAAAGTAAATTCATAGATTAAAAGTTAAAGAATGGAAACCAGTATTCCATGCAACAGGAACCCAGAAAAAAAGCAGGAGTAGCTATTCAGATTTGTAGACAATGTAAACTTCAAACTTAAAATAATTAAAAGAGATAAGGTCTCTACAAATCTGTTAGTGGAAAAAGTCAAGAGGAAGGACTAACAATTATAAACATATATGCACCAAATACAGGAGCAACCAATTATATAAGACAAATACTAATGAACATGAAAAACCAAATACATAAGAACACATTTGTAGTAGGGGACATTAATATCTCATTGTCACAAATGGATAGATTAACTCAACAAAAAGTCATCAAAAAATACTACAACTGAAACATACCTGTAAGCAAATTGACCTAGTATATGTTTACAGAGTGTTCCACTCAACCACATTAGAATACATATTCTTCTGAGCCGTTCATGGGACATTCTCCAAAATAGACCATATACTAGCCTATTCTTACATTCTTACGTAAATGCAAAGGGATTGACATTACCCCATGCATATTATCTGACCATAGTGCACTGAAACTGGAAAATAATGGCAAAATAAATTGCAAAACCTGCATAAATACATGGAAATTAAACCTCCTGAACAATCAATGGGTTACAGGTGAAATTAAAGAAGAAATAAAGCAATACTAACAATTGAATGAAAATGTAGATACAACATACCAAAACCTGTGGAACACAATGAAAATGGTCCTAAGATAGAAATACATAACAATAAATTGTCATATCAAGAAATGAGCACAAATAAGCAACCTGGTGCTACATCTCAAGCTTCAAGAAAAAGACCAAGTCAAACCTAGAGCTCATAGAAGAGAGAAGATCAGAGCAGAACTTAATGTAATTGAAACTAAAAACCTAAGAATTAATGAAACAAAGAGCTCATTTTTTGAGAGAATAAACAAAATTGACAAACCTCTAGACAACATTATTAAGAAAAAAACAACTCCAACTCATGCAATAAGGTCTGAAAACAGAGCACTTACTACAGATCCCATGAAAATTCAAAAGATCATGAATACTTACTTTAAAAATCTCTACTTATATAGGGTGGAAAACACAGAAGAAATGGGCAGACTTATAGATTGAGCTTGTACCAAAGCTCAATCCAGAAGATATAACAATATTGAATAACCCAATATCAGCTATTGAAGGTATAGGGCAGATTTCTTCAACAAAATTTAAACTGCACAGAATATATTTCAAAAAATCAACAACTGTGATCTCACCTTATTAAGAAGCTTTTGCTCATCAAAAGATATCACCAACAGGGTGAAAATACACTTCACAAATTGGAGAAAAGTTTTAGGCAATTCTCTCTCAGACATTGAACTTCTAGACACGTCTATAGGTCATATAAAGAGCTGAAAAAAATCAGGCCCTGTAATTCTAAGACTCAATCCAAAATGATCATCTGAGATGAATAGACACTTCTCATATGAAGAAATACAAATTATGTATAAATATATGAAAAAATTTAACATCATTGCTCATTTGAGAAATGCAAATTAAAGCAACACTAGATTACCTCTCACCCCAAAATAATGGGTATTATTAATATATCATCCATTAACAAATTCTAGTGAGGCTGTGATAAAAAAGGAACTCTTTTCCACTGTTGGAGGGTTTTATAAACTGGTGCAACCACTGTGGAAATAAGTATAGATTCCCCAAAATCTAGGATACCTAAATCTATTAATGCCTATTAATCAAGGAATGGATAAAAAGGTATATTTTTATACAATGGAGCACTACTCAGTCATAAAGAAGGATAACTTAAAACTTTTGTAGATAAATGGATGCAAACTGGAACTGTACTGATAAGTGAAATAAATCAGATTCACATGTGTAAACATTGTATTATCTCCCTGGTATGAGAAAGTGAAAGAGTAAATAAGGTCTAAAGTGTAGAGTAGATATTGTAAAATGGGAAGACATAGTTCAAAAGCAAAAAGGATCTAGGTTGGGCAAAAGGTGAAAGCATGGAAGTGAAAAGGAAAAATGCAGGTCAGTTATACTGTTAGGGTCTCTTAGTTCGTTGAAAAGGAAGATTTGTGTTAATACTTATTAGAGAAATTTTAATGCCCATGTGTTTTGCCCTAAATAACTACTTTGAAGATACCAATATGCAATGTATTAATGATTGCTATTCTCTCATTATTTTGATATGAAATAAATTTTTTAACTTTTCCATAAAAAAGAAAATAAATACTATGTGATACATTAACATATAAGTAAATATGGTACCTCAATCAATATCAAACTTTGTGTGATAAATCTTTCAGATTTTTATTTTTTATTATTTTTTATACTGGGAGACAATATGATATTTATAAATGGGAGTTTGATTTATTTTCACTTATGAGTATCGTCTCAAATTGCCTCCATTTACCTATAAAAGCCTCAAGATTATCCTTTTTATAGTTGAGTAATATACCATCATATAAAAATACCCCCTCTTTTTTTATCTGTTCTGAAGTTGATATATACTTTGGTTGTTTCCAACATTTACATATATAAATTTATGTATATATATGTATGTTAGATAGATAACTATACTGCTAATCTCTCTTAGTTCATCAAAAAGAGCAGTTTGTATTGTCATTGTTTGATTAATCACTTTTGTATCTAGATTTTGTAACCTGAACAACTTGTTCTGAGATAACAATGTGCAATATATTAACTAGTGTAAATTCCCTACTTATTTTTTCTTTCTTGAAATTCTGTATCATTTGTATCCTTTTTCTGTTTTGCTTTTTTTTTTCCCAGTACCGGGGATCAAACTCACAACCACGCATTTGCAAGGCAGGCGCTTTTGCCACTGAGCTAAATCCCCAGCCCCTTCTGTTTTGCTTTTTAAAATTAAAAAAAAAAATCTTTCTTATAGATAGGAAAGACTGAGCATTATTCAGACAATGGGTAAATAGTAAATGGGAAAATTTGATCGGTATAAAGCCTGCTACAAGTAAGTAAAAATTAACGAAGCAAAGATCAAATTCAAGAGTGAAAATGGAAAGAGTTTGGTGAGCAAAGAATCATCCATGTCATGTATATCTGGACAGATAAAGAATCTGGAATTTATCTTAAAAATACTCATTGAAGTGTATCAAGTATAAAATATTGTAGTTATATTTACATTTTAGGTATGTTTTTGGCTATATAGAGAACAGATTGGTAGAGTCAATAATAAATGCTAGGAAAACAGATTTTTTATAGTAGTGCATTATTTAAAGGTTATGGATAAAAATAAGATGTGGGGAATAGATAATTTTTTTAATATTTGGTAATTGGATAGTAAGAGCTTCTGCTTGGCTAATTGCTGAGAGTGAAGGACAAACAAGAGTTAAGAATGAAGCTCAAGTTATGTTTAAGCAAACCGGATGAGTGAATTTTATCACTCATTGATATGGGGGGAAAGGAATATGTTTGGAAGATATAATGCTAAGTTTCATTTTGTATAAATGAGAGGTTTATACTTGTAAAAATGAAGAAAAGCTCTCCTTTGTACCTTTTGTGTTTAGGAAAATGGGAAGATGTTGCTCTCCCTATTAGCTACCACTAAAATGACGTTTCCTTAGAAGGAAGTAAGAAATCCTACATAAAATCCTAAGAACAGACATCAAATCTTCTCTATTTTTTTCTGAGTTCTCTACTTTGAACCATGTATTAGATATGTTCTGATTTTCTGCTTTACAAATATAGCAGACATACACACAATTCATTCAGCTTCTATTCTTGATTCAACAAAGATGGCATAGTTCTCAACCTCTTAGATTAACACTAATAATACCCCCCCATGGCATTCATATTCTTGAGTATGAGATGAAATTTTTGATTCATGTCAAGGAATTGGATATAGCAGAACTAACATGATGACACTCCCAAGTTATGTTAAAAAATACCTGTGGTTTCTTTGTTGGGTGTTATATGTGATTCTCTGTCTTCAATGTATCACTGTGGGGGACACCATGGATGTCATATTTTGTCTAAACACACCCCATGAAAATGCACATGTGGAAATTAAAACCTGCCAAAAACCATGTGAGATATTGTCAATGTATAACCCTCCAGTTGAGAATCAAGATGACTGCAGTCATGCTTGACCATTCACTTGCAGTTACATAAAATATCACAAACCAGAATCATCTAGGTAAGCTATCACCAGATAACTTTGCAATAATTCCTAGCCACTGAATTTTGGGTGAATTTATAATTAATACACTAATTTGTTACTCATGAACTTGGCTTGTTGCCTAGGCAATCCGTTTGAGTCATACATGTAGTGTTTGAAGGTAGGAATGAGAAAATTGCAATTGACATCATAAGCCATTTTATTTCTTGAAGAGTTAAAATAATACATTACCAAATCTTTATATGATAGAGAAATAACACCAGAACCCTTCTGAATGTGACTATCAGCCTCACCACCAAAGATAACTAGTGCTGTTGAGTTGTTTAATGGTTGTATGATTCAGACATTAAGAGATTGATTTTATCTTGAAGTCAAGATTTAAATCACTGGATAGTCTTTTTGGAAAGACAATATAAATCAATAAAGCACTTTGAAATAAAACGTTGCTCCATGAAGAAAGAGTATTCTGTATTTCTTGTAACCAAAGCCCCTGATCAAAGAAGGGAATTGTGACTATGACCCAGGGAGCCTGGCTCCAGAACCACATTCAATGATTCTTTTGAGTTACTTGGTAGAGCATTAGTTAGAGGCTGGAGACTGATTTAACAACAGGAAGATGCAAACATTTACATCCTTAAAGCCACCCCTTGAATTTGAGCCATTAGTCCCACAGGTTTTTGACTCCTGTGTACCTAAAAATAATTCAGGTATGTTTCACCACTTTGAGGGACAAGGCTTCTGCCATCACCAGGTAAATGAAGGTCTTGCTATCTGAGAAAGGAAATGCTTGGCTAACACCCTCTTCTCTATTTGTATAAAACAGGGACCCAAATAAAGAAGAGATAAGAGGAGGGAAAAGATGTCAGTCCAGCAGGTAATCATTTACGGCTTCATGCTATATTCCATGAGTAGTTATAGATTTCCAGAGAAGAAACAAGGCTCTCCAATACAAAGAAATTACAGTTCACAGCCCTATGGCTTGGCTGGTTTTATCAATCTGGCAGTTTAGGGTCAATGCAAAGGACATCCCCAGCACCTGAAAAAAGAAGAGGAAATGTGAGGCTGTCATTAAAAAGGTCATTTCACTCACAACTCTTAAAAATTGCCTTCATACAAAAAGAAAACTTCTAACACATGGGGATAATCCTCACTATCACGTGCAGTACCCTCTTAGTAGCTCTGTCTTTTTGCTTAAGGATAGCACTGTGTAAAGATGTGGGGAAGATGATGCAACATAATGAAGTATAAAATGTTGGGGCAATTTTGTTTTGTTAAAATGTCACAGGACCTCTGCTACTGTTACAGGCAAGTTCTGTTTCCTGAACTCTGTGCAGTGCGTTGTCTTTCCCATGCTCTGGCTTCTTTGGTTTCCAAGCAGAGAAACATTTTTCTCTCAGTTTCTTAATTAATCCTTAAATAGTCTGTGATATACCCAATACTTGGGTAGAAAAATGTTAAATATATCACACAACAAAAGAACACAAATTACTTTCAATTTACCCTACATTTGTCAAACTCAACCCAGAAACAAAGAAATGACTACAACTCTCATAATCAATTCTTTCTTAGAATACAAGGTCAAATTTCTCCTGGTGCTATTTCAGCAATCATATTCTTTTTCAGATGAGTTGAAAAGAGATGAAAGTAGGTTTTTGCCTGAGTAGCTTTTAATTTATCTGGGAATCACTCTTAACTATGAGAGTGAAGTTGTATAATTAGATGTTCTTATAATTCATTTTCTGAATGCATTAAATCAAATTTGTATTAACACCATTTGCTACTTGACTGGGGAATTCATATACTGATAAAATAGATAACATTCGTTATTTACCTATTATGCACCTAGTACTCTTTTAAAACTTTACACAACTCAACTAGTTTAATTCTCACTCTATTGCTAAAATTAAGCTCTTACCTGGATCATACATATACAGATGATAATGATTCCAATATACAGGAAATTGGAATGAAACCACTCTTGTGTTTTCATATAGCAACCCTAGGAAAAAATTACAGGTACAAGTGATACTGCTCTATAATTCAAATTTATGAGGATTATTTGGAAAGGTAATTTATATTTTGTTTATGTAACACAAAGAAATTTAAGTCATATGCTATATTTTTATTTTCTATGGGTAAATAAAGAAACCAGTATAAAGTAGGGAATGTTAAATTGGAGACTTTTCTGGTAGTACTGTCAGTGCAATGGCACTTAATGTAGAAATGCTAGATCCTTAACCACAGAATTAAACTAGCTCCCAAGAAATAGGTTAATAATAGATGTCCTTAAGTCAGGCATGGTAGCACATGCCTGTAATCCCAGCATTCAGGAGGCTGAGGCTAGAGGATTATTGCAAATCTGAGACCAGTCTGGGCTACAAAATAAGTCCAAGGGCAGCTTGAACTGCATATTGAGAACCTGTCTCAAAAAAGATAAAAAACAAAAGAAAGCAAAGAACCCAAAACAAAACAAAAAATAGATGTCTTTATGTTCTTTGAACAGTCAGTGCTGACCTAATATTGGATGCAATTCTAGGATTAACTTGCATGTCAATAACTAGCCCTACCAACTACCAGAGACATTTATTTGGTGTATGCTCCTGTTTCCCTCCATAGTCCAAAAAACTTTTGGATTCTCAAATCACCTCAGGAGTGGACAATATGTGGTAAGGACAGGACCTTAGAGATTTAGTCTGATTAGAAGATGAATTTTCTGGCTGAAAATCAGGCTGATTCTTTTAGCTGTTAAAATGACTGTCTCCCAAACCCTCACCCCTTCATTTATGATTCATCTCACTAAGGGACGGAATCCCACCATCTCTAATTGAGTGGAGACATAAAGAGCAGGATAGATTTCCTAATTCAAATATATGAATGTTAAGACCTTTGCCAAACAATTACCTTGACTCCTTGTTCTGAAGGGCAAGATGCTGGTGGGTGCCCAGACCAGTCACTTGTTTGATTTACACCACAACAATGCAGCTAAAAGCAAAACTCCCCAAAACATTACGGTTAGAAAGAAAAATGAGAAACAGAAAGAAAACTGGAGCTTAGAAAAAGAGTAGCCATTCAGATACAACTACAGCAGAAACTCTAGGATTGGTCTATTCCATGGATTCCTTAGAACAAAGTCCTTTGAAATCTGTGACACCATTTTATTCACATCAGATCTCTGTAAACTAGAGAGATTAGATTTAATTTACTCACATTTTGATCACAAATTGTGTGGCCGTGGAATTTTATAAGGAGAGATCAAGCTGACCATATCTAGATTTACCAACTAGGCCACAGATGGGAATTCAGCAGAGACGTCTTGTATTACACAATTGCTGGCTTGGGAAATTTTTAGAAAATAGGCAAACTAACCTAGATTATGATATATCTAGGTTTTCTTCATTGCTTACTAGCTTTTAAACAATGATCATTGCCAAGTTGATAAAAGATGAACAAGAAAATGAAGATAACTTTGCACCAACCAGACTGACTACCCTCTCCTGTTTTTATTGCCAAGGAAATATTCTAGATCTGAGGATCACAGACAATGGACTGAAACTTCCAAAAAAAACAGTACTCATTCTCAGGTATTAAGGTTGGGAAATGAAGGCTGGGATTATCTAAGGAGAATTCATCAGTACTCACAAATGACTGGATGGAGTCCCATGCCGCCTTTGTGCTGTTATCTAAGTAGTAACGGTGGATGCTCTCAGTCAGGCCTTCAGCCACATAGCTATTCAGCTGGGTAGGTTATGTTCCAAGGCAAGAAGGTATTGTAGAAAGCAAGTGAGTTCAAGTGAGTTCTAGGGTAGTGAGATCACTTCTCCCTCCCTTCCAAATGCTTTCCTAAGAACTATGAAAGTAACAGGAGAGTACTATATTTAAGGCAAGAAGTGCTGATGATAAAATAGCATTGAAGTAAAAAGTATGCAGTGGGCTCTTGTCTTTCTAGAACTATAGTTTTGCATTGGAAGGAAAGAGGTGATTAGAGCAATCACTATCCTTGAGCACCGATACATTCTTCATGACTAATGAACAAGGAAAATACTTAGAAGGTAAGCCTGTTTTACTGTTCTTTCCAGTCACCTTTCAAGGAACATTCAAATACAGTAACTTTTATAACATTTTTATTTCCCTAATTACAATATATCCTTCTTTGTACCATCCTCCACTTGATTCCTACCTGTTATAGAATTTATTCTGTACTACACCCTCTTGACTTTCTGCAATATGACAATGATTTGTGTTGTTTATAACTTACCTTCTGTTCATGCACAAAAAGCAGTATAGCCAATGTCACTTCAGCAAGGAGAATAATCAGCAGCAGGACAAAAAACTGATAAAAGAGACATATTGATAGTTATCTCAGTGTCTGACCCACAACATCCACCCAAGGGAAGGTCCAGCCAGGTCTCTGCACATAGGCAAAGTGTTCCTTTTTCTGCCTTCTCAGAGTTTTGTAAGCTTCTCTTGTTTTATGAAAAATATGTGTTCTTTTCCCACAATTACATTATAAAAGGCAGATCATCAGTATTGTGACTTTGCTCTCTGTTGTGCATTATGTTCACCAAAATAGCAGGTACATAATACATATTCAACATTATCCATTGAATAAACAAAGCATTTACCACCTACTGATATCAACCTATTGAAACGGTTGAGCAAAAGACAGCAAATGAAAGCATGTGTTTTTATTTTTATGATTGGTATTTTCTACTAGATCCAGGCTACCTGAGAGAGAAAGATAAATGGTGGTGAAAGTTGAGAAGTAGCCTATGCCAAATGGGGAAAAGAGAGGCACTATTATGGTTTAGACATGGAATGTCTTCCAAAATTCTCATGCATTTAGAAGCAGAACTTTTAGAAGGTGATTGGATTACAGCTGTCTTCAACTTACTGTTGAAAGTTGGTACCTAGCTGGAGGTGGGTCATTGCATGACCTGAAGGGTATATCTCCCTCTCCAGCTGCTTCTTCCTCTCTCTGATTCCTGACCCATAACCTGAGCATGATTCCTTCACAGTAGGCCCTTCCACCATTCTGTTTCTGAGTTTCATTCTGGCAAGGATGAACTGAAACTCCTAAAACTGTGAGCCAAGTAAACCTCTTTTCATTTAAATTGTGAGTGTTGAATATTTCATCCCAGTACTGAGAAAGTGACTAAGACAGGCTGTAATCATAGTCTCAACTCATCTCCCCCTCCCATGATTTAGAGCACCACAAGCTGTTAGGACTTACCGACATAAGCAGACACTTATTCTCCTTGATAGAGCCCATGCAGCCCAGAAAAGCAACCACCATGATAATGGAACCCACGATGACAAGAATATTCCCCAATGTAAGGAAGGGTAGTTTATGGAAGAGAACTCCAAAGTCGTTGTGGACCAGGAAGTAGATCCCAAAGCCCAAAATGCAACATCCACAGAGCTAAAAGGAAGAATCCAATAACATTCTGAGTTAAAGTGTGGTTCTTGGGTATCTCCTCATTCACATTCTCAATTTGCCAAGATCAAAATCACCTCCTTTTTTAGATTCAGTCAAGACTCTCATTAACAACATTTTCCAGTTTCACCTAGTCCTAGAAAAGAAGAAATTCTTGTATTTTCACATGGATTCTCACTCAGATCTTATCCTACCCACTTTCAGATGCCAAGGAAAGATCACCCTGTGAGCCACACAATACTTCCACCATATGCAAACTAATTTTATGCTTCAAATATCCTACTCCTTATCCCTAAATTACTTACACATGGTTTCCTTTTGAAAACTAGAGGCTTGTAGAGGAGATGATTCACTTAAGGAAGCTCATCTTTCTCACAAAAATATACAGAAATCAAACTTATACGATTTTCTTATAGGCACATGAGCCTCAAATCATCCTATATATAGAATTCAATTGTTGAAGTTGATACAGTGAACCCATCCCACAAAAGGTGACTAGTGTACCAAGGTCCCAGGGGGAAAACCACTCTAAAACCTATATTTTCATCTGTTTCTCATCTGTAGCTGTCAGCTGTTAGCAGCAGTCTGAAGACTCAAAAGAGATACAATATCTCCATTAATAACCGCACTGCTATCTTTTGAATTTGTAATCTTATCCTATGGCAGTATGGGAAGAAGGAGGAAATTATTACTCCTTTCTTCTAGGTTTGGTGTGCAAGCCATGATAGAAATATACATGAGTCTCATTTCATAGACTATTATTTTACATTTCTGTTTATTATTTTCTGAGAGAGGGTCTCACTCTATAGTTCAATTCAAGCTGGACTTTAACTCACTATGTAGCCCAGGCTGGCCTTGAATTCAGGGTGAATTCTTAGATTATAGGTGTATGTCATCAGACCTGCTCATGGAAGACTCTTTAGAGAAGTAAAGTGAGCTTACTAGGGGAAAGGTTAGCTCAATCATGCTCAGAAGAAACACACTTACCCAAAAGAGCAAGTTGAAGAAAAATAGGACATACTTCAGCAATTTCAAGCTACTCATGCCCATGCTGTAATATCCTTGCCCTAAAAAAATAGAAGACAGGAAGTAAGTGACCTGGCTCTGCAACATGATACCAAAGATGCAAAGCACACACTATTAGAGTTAAGGAACACCGGCATCACCTGGGTTTGAGCTTTGGCTTACCTCTGATGTTTCTCCAAACTCCTTGCTTTCTTAATTTTTGAGCTGAGATACACACTGGCTCGTTTTGAACACTCACTTTTACTTCTAGTTCAATAAGCAATACTTAATATCAAATTAAGCACTACAGTGATTTGATTAGCCAGTTTCTTAAATACCTAATGATTAAATACATGTTAAATTTGGTCTGTAAATCTCTACACCTTAAAATGAGGAGGAATTATGTATATGCCTTATTATTTCTTTTATTACAGAAATATTTATCATATTTCCTGTTCCACATGTTGTGAAAGATAGGGCTATGACTAAATAGTTACTATCGTCCAGAAGATGTCAGTCTTTCAGTAGAAATAAAACAGGCCAACAATTGCACAATGAGGAAGTGAAAACAGAGCTTTTAATTTTTTAAAAAACAAATGCAATATCATTTTCCAAAGGGAGATACCTATATGTAATATCTGTACCTCAATTCTAGATACCCAGACAGAAACTTCTTGAATTTTCTGATTTAATAAATCTTATAGAAAGACTCATTTTAAAACCATGCATGAAACTGACATATAAAGCAGAACATCAGTTTATGATTTTTCCTTTTTCAGGGCAAGCGTTGTTTTAGCATTCAATGGTAATTTCTTTATAGTGTCAAGGTACCTAGGAATAACATAGTCTTGAGAGATGGTTCGTGCAAAATAAATAACCCTGGTGAACTACTTCTATTCCATAATGGAATAAAGGTCTGTTAAAAACACCAACTATTTCTATAGTATATGCCTCATTACTTGTCCTTTTCCTTTTCTTTCCTCTTTTCCTTCTTGCCTTGATCCTCAGGATAATTCTTTAATTTAATCAACTTTAAATAAAATTAATATAATTATAAATGCTTTTGGAAGTGCTTGAGAAGTTAAAAAGGATGTTGACTTATCACACAGATCTTTGAATCTAAACTTGAATTTGGCTCTCACATATGTCACCAAATAGCATTATGAATTTGAAGATAGCATTTCTAGTCAGCTTTCCTTTATGTACAATAGGGTAATATTTACATCTCATGGGGTAGATGTGAAGATTAAGTTATCTCAACATATAGCATATTACATGATTAATAATAAATTAAATCCATGTTTATGTAGTATCAAAGGACCACCCTTTATCAGTAATAAATGATGGATTTATGTGTTTCTCAGGCCTTTATCAGTATTATTTTGACAAAATGTCTCATAATCTAAAATACATTTATGGGTAAATGATTTATCTTTCTTATCTAGAAGTTTTTAAATCAATATCTAGAATATTGATACTGTTTAGATCTAAATGTCCTCTCAAAGTCTCATGCTTGGAGATGAAACCTCACTAGAAAGGGCAGTTTAGCAGGGATGTAACTTGAGTATATTCTTGTCCTAGTGATATAGGTAGCTGGATTAATTAGAAATATTATAGGTAGTCAGACAAGGCAAACCCCTCAAAAGAGCTAGTGCATAAAACCAGCTACCTTGCAACTGTGGGGAAAAACAAACATCTCCCACTGCAGGCTAGATCTCAAGACAAAAGACAAAACAAATATAACCATACCCTAAGGATAAACATCAGGGATTGATATTCTAAACAGGTATTCATCACCTTGAGGAAGCCAGAGGAAATCACTAATTCATCCCTTATAGGCAAAGACTCTGTTCTGTATTTATGCCTTCTTGCTACATGTGAGTTTCTTCCACATTAACTCCAGATTTAATCAATTTTACCTGAATGATTACACTTGTAATCATTGGTTGGCCAGAGTTCTGTCATACTTCATGCACGCTGCTTTTCAAGTTTCCATTTTTCCCCACTTTGCAACCACCTAGTGGTTTGGTCTATAAAAGTCTCTAGAAAAGACGGAGTCTTTGGCAACTCACTCAGGACCACTTCGTTCTCTCTCTCAGACAGATTTTTTTAATAAGTATATTCTGCTCTTAACCTCTGTTGTTCCTAAAATTCATTCTTTGATTTTACAGAACACAAACTCTTATCAGACACCTAGTAGTTTGGGAATTTCTTCACCCTATATCACTAGTACCTCTTTTCTCTCTCTCTACTCAACTAATACCTTACTCTCTCTCTCTCTCTCTCTCTCTCTCTCTCTCTCTCTCTCTCTCTTGCTCACTCTCTCACTATCTCTTTCTCTCCTTCCTGACTGCTATGGGTTGAATGCCTAATCCATTTCTGTCTTATAGACAGCAGAACATAAACTGAAACATTTAGTCAAAATAAACCTTTTTTCCTTCAAGTTGTGGATGTTCAGTATTTTGTCAGTGAAGCTAATAAAATTTGGTACCTAGAGTGAGGTTACTGTCATGGATATACCCGACTATGTGGCTTAAAAGCTGTTAGAATTGGTTTGTGGGAGGAGTTTTGATAGATTTGGAGATGCTGACTACAAGAGCTGTAAAGTGCTGTAAACTGAAGTTGATGAGAAATTTTTAATAGAGCTCAGAAGATTAAAGTGCTGAGAGTAGTACAGGGAATAACACCAGGCTCAGGAGATTTCAGTTGGGAACAAGAACTCCACTGGCAGTTGCACTAGAAACCATGTGTGTTACATCCTGCCTTCTTACACATAAGGATGCCAAAATTGCCTGGGTTTTACCCATGTCCTGACACTTTGTAGTATATTTAGAATGAGGATGATGGATTAATTAATCTGACAAGTAAAATTTCAAAGCAGCCCAACATTCAAGGTGTGGTATGGGTATTTACTGGCTGCTTTTAGTCAGATCTAAAGTAAAAAATCAGGAACAAAATGTAGTTATAAAATATTTGCAGTCTCATCAGAAGTAAAATGGGGGTAAATGAAATTGTGGCTTCTGAAAAGTTTAACATTAAAAAGAAGCCAGGAATTTTGCATAAGGACAATAAGATAGCTTTAAGGCATATCAAGAATCAGCAAAACCCCATCCTCCTCAGAGTCAGAGGTAAAAAAGCACAAGTCATTCACTTCAAAAGAAAAAACAACAGTGTTCTGATCATTGAGGGTTACTAGGTGAAATGCTTCACAAATTCACTCATCTTGACTGTCAGTGGCACTCAGTAGAATGTCTCCTGAACATTTTACAAGGAACAGGCACTAAGCAAACTCAGCCTAAGAGAGATGCCATGAGGTCTACAACCATTAATACTGATATAGGGGAATGAAACTCCCAACCTACTATATGTCTGGTACAACTTCATTTTCTCTAAAATTGAAGAATGAATTTTAGGAACAATGAGAAGAATATATTCTATATATGTTCTATATGTATAGAATATATATAAGAATATATGTATAGAATATATATAAGAATAGATAGAATATAGAATATATTCTATGTATATGTTCTATACATATTCTATAGAATATGTATAGAACATATATAAGAATATATTCTTATGTATATTCTGTATATAAGTATATTCTACATGTATATTCTTATATATATTCTATATATATTTTATATATATATATATATATATGTTTGAAGAATATATTTATTGAGAGAAAGAAAGCTTCTGAAAGAGAGACAAAATAGGTTCCGAGTGAGTTGCCAAAGATTGTCTTTTCTAAGGATTTTTATAGAGTAAACCATGAGGTGAAGCAGGTCTAAGGTGAAGAAAACTGGGAACTCAAAAGGCAGATATGCATGGGGTAGGACAGAACTATGATCAACCAATCAGATTAATTGTTCAGGTAAAATTGACCAAATTGGAGACCAATGGGAAAGTGAGTCAGGTAGCAAGGAAACATTCTTGTGGATGAGTAACTCTTCCTGTAGAGGGTTAGAATAGTGACTCTTTGCTTTGCAAGGTGATCCATGCCTAATCCCTAATGTTTAAACTTGGGGTGTAGTTGCATTTGTTTAACCTTCTGTCTTGAGATCTGGCCCACAGCAAGAGGTATATGTCTCAAGACATCTGATCCTCTGTGCTGGCTTTCTCTACCCCTGTCTGACTGTCTATAATATTTCTCATTAGCTCAGCTGCCTGTAATAGTAACACTGGGGCAGAGCTGTCCAAGTCATTTAGAGCTTGTATCTCACCACTACCTGACCTGACTACTAGATGTGCAGCTCCAGGATTTATTTGCCTTGTTGGGTTTAAGTCTTGGTTTGGTCCAATTTCTGTCTATTTCCTTTCTCTCATTTGAAACAGAAGTTTAACTGACTTTTTTTATTTTAACAGGGATACATAGGTAAGAGTTTGCTTGAGTCTTAGAGGAGGTTTTCAACTTAGACTTTTCAGCACTGATGGAACTGTTAAGACTTAGGCAATGGTTACATGTAGACTAAATGCATAGTGTATGAAATGCACATGGAGATTAAGGATACAATATTATCCTTCAAGTCTAAAATATATTCCAAAATTCTCATTCTTAGAGGTGTGATATGGTCATTCAAGGTGAGTCATTTAGTGTGTGATTTAGAAAGATGTATTCTCATCCATGGATCCTTTCTCTCTCTCTCTCTCTCTCTCTCTCTCTCTCTCTCTCTCTCTCTCTCTCTCTGTTTCCTTCCTGGCTGCCATAGATTGAGCACATTTTTCTCCACCGTGTCCTTCTGTCTTGCAACCAGTTAACTACATACTGAAAACATAGCCAATATAACCTCTCTTTGTTTAAATTGTAGATGTCACATATTTTGTCCCAGCTATAGGAAAGCTAGCCAAGAAAAATACGACATTTGGCCATCCCCATTTCCAAATTCTTTCAAATTGTTACTTCTACTTTTTGCATAACATATGGCAAGCGGTAAAAGAACCAAAACATTCATCCCTAAGAACAGGACCAATTGTCATGAAAACTGAAATTTTTGTTCTGTTGAATTAATCCAGAATGTTTCTTAGAGAGTTGAAGTTTAAGTTGACATTTAAGTGA